TTTTTTAAGATTTATTTATGCATACAGAACTGGCCAGAGGTGCAGGGGCAGTGAGAGAACTCACCAGACAGAGTAGGGAGCAGAACAGGCAGATCTACTGAAGGGAGCAGTGGGTGGGTCAGGAGAGGTCTGGCATACCATGTGGTCACCTCCGGGGCAGGCGGGGATCAAACTCATGTGGAAGTGGCTTTAGCTTCTTAGTGCTGTGCTTTAACCTGCTGTGCCAACAGGGAGAGCCCAGGATACATCTGTTTTAATAAAATCACAAAAGAAGTACACCTGTCCCTATAGTTTACATCTCATTAGGGGCATGTGGAAACTAAATTAATAATGACAGTCAGTTAGTTAATAATATGTTTAAAAGTGACATCTAGTGGGGGAAAGGAAAATACAACAGTATAAAAAGTAAGAAAAGCAAGGGGGTGGGCATTTTTTACATGCAGTAATCAAGTATATGACTTAGGTCATATTTAAGCTGATTTAGGTAAGTGTGAGAGAGGTAGCAATTGTCAAGAACTCAGCTGAGCTAGAGTGTATGTTGCCTGGTGTTGGAGTAAACATATAAAGACATGATCAAAATCAAGAGAAACAAAAAGCAAAGTAATAGTCAAACCTTCAATCACTTACTGCAATATTTTAAGCACGAGGGTAAACTGGAGAAGGAAGTAGCTCCCTCCAGTCCTTTTCTGTAGACTAGAATTAGTCAGGGGCCAGGTGGATAAACACAGGCACAAGGGGATTATTACTGTCAGGGGAACAATAGGCTGAACAATAGGCTTTTCCAGTTTTATGAATCTGGGGGATAGGCAGGAAGATCCACAAAAGAAAAGTACTGAGCAATGAGTCAGAGTGGAGCCTTCCTCTTTTCTACTTGAGGTTTCTGAGTAAAAGATCTGCTAAGTGCCCTGATGCAGAGGCCTTTAAAGGAGGTGCCTAAGGTAAGAAGCAGGTGTGTGTAATACCAGTGCTGGAAGGAGGGGCTGAGCCCTGGAAACTGCAGTGTGTTAGCTGTTTCCTGGGCTGGGCTGGCAGCTTTGGCCTGGGAAGCCTACGTGAACACCTAATTACCTGTGTTAATGGCTAAAAAATTACAGATTTTAGGAAGGAGTTAGACTTCTATACAAGGTGGATATCTGAGGAAAGAACATTAGAAACTGAAGTATCAGACAGGATAAGGGCCCCAAAGTGGGAGAATATATGTCATGTTTGAGGAATAGCACAAGAGGCCAGAATTACTGGAGAGGGGAAAGTAGTAGAGAACAGAGAATGTCAGTAATAAAAGATACTCATGCCAAACTTGGTGAGCTTTTTAAACTCTGAGTAAAATATGGAGATGTGGACCATATTGAACAATGATAAAATAAATAAATGATTGAATGTGATTTGTTTTTACAATTGTTCCATGATTGTTCATTAAAGCCCATGTATTCTTGGCTTATTGAATGTAGAGCTCTATATATCTAAGTGCTAAGGTTGTAGCTCTTTCTTTTCTGCTGTATATATTTTCATTCTATAACATTTTCATGCCTTTATATGCTTATTGTATATAACATGTTAGGTCTTAAAAAACTTTATAGCTCTCAACAGTTACTAGTAACAATTATAACTTAACAACCTTCTATTTTACTCTTTTCGTTTTGTTTTCTTTTTCTACTTTTCTTAAAAATTTTTAATTTATTAAACATTAAAAAATGTATTTCCATTATTTATTTAATAACTAGTTTTCTTACGAAATGATACCTACAACTTGATTTAGTTAACATTCAGTTACTAAAGAGTAAAATTCAGTTACTGAAAATGGCCTTGTCTTAAACTCATCTTTATTATTTTTCAACTCTTTTCTCATTTTACTGGGATTTATCAACCCTTCTGTAGATGTGAACTACATTAAATCTATTTGCCAACACTATTTAAACTTACAACCCATTACTTAGTACAATGCTGTCAAGTGACAAGCCATCTCTGAGTTTATAGCAGTTTAGCCTAGCAATGCAAAGTTAGAGCAGTATTGAAAGAGATTTTTTAAAAATTTATTTTAGATCTATTCTGATGGCTTTATTAAAATGATATAGATCTTTGTGATGTAATTTTTTTAAATAAATACATTCAATATATATATATTTTAGTGTATCCCCTTTTGGCCAGTGGATGCTTGTAGTAAGCTTCTTATTCAAGTTGAAGGAAGTGAAGACCCTCCCCAAAAGATATATTTTAATAAGCAAGAAAATTGTATTTTATTGCGTCTGAATGATGAGGTAAGCAATGTATTTGTGTGAGTAGAGATGTTAATATGCTATATGCTACTAATATTCTTAAGTATATTTTGAAAATTATCTGATTATTTTTGCTTTTGTTAAAAATGAACTAGTATTTTATGAAAAGGGAAAAGCACTAAGAGGAAATAGAAGACTGGAAACAATTTGTTATACAGAAAGCTAATTGCAGTGCCTAGAATACTAGTATAAGCCACATCTGGATATAATATATATAATAATAGTACCTACATTGATGGTTTTCCAGACTTGAAGAATAAAATTCTGAATTTAAAAAATAAAAATGTATTAAGTTATGGAGTTTATTAAACTTAAATATACTTTGGGTCATATTAAAGAATTTTTTTTTTTCTAGCTTGGAGGTATTATAGCAGAAGTTAATTTGGCTGAGCATTCAACAGTGATTAAATTTTCAGATTATCATGATGGAGCTGCTACATTTCTGTTAATAAATGACACTACGAATAATGATATTCAGTATCGCCAAAGGTATGAAGATTACTACAAATTCAGTATCCTCTGATTTTAGCAGAGTATAGGTGATGAAATATTATTTTTATGATGATTTCTTAAGAATATAAGCAGTTTGGAAGGAGGGAGGGAGGAATGTGGGGAACTCTGGTGATGACAGACACACAAAGTGGAGAAAGGAGGAAGTAAACATTGTTCTAATTTTTTTTTAAATTAAAAAGAATATAAGCACTGTTAATGGCTTAGGGACTATGCATGGTTTCAGGCATCCAGTGGGATCATAGTACATATTCCCCTCAGACAAGTTGGGAACTATTTTAAATATTCCTCTATTGTTGAGAATTTTATACTCTTAGTAAGATCTTAATACATTTGTGTTATTTATACTTTGTGATTCTTTGCTGTGTCTTATAAGGAAAAAATTTCAGTCTGCTCAATCAGAACTACTACAAATCTCAGCTAATGGAATACAATTAATAAGGCATTATTGTATTTTTTTCTTAGTCATATACTTGACCTTAGTTTACACATATTGTTACTACTTATATCAGCTCTCTCAAGGAAAATGAAGATTCCCTTCCTCCTGGAAAAGCAGTCTTTTATACATGGGCTGATCCAGTGGGTTCTAGAAAGTTGAAGTGGATATGTGGAAAAAGCCATGGTGAAGTAACACAAAAGGATGTAAGTACTGGACTGCTTATTATGTTTTTTTTTTTTTTTTAAGATTTATTTATTTGTGCACACAGAACTGGGGTATAAGCCAGAGATGCAGGTGCATTGAGAGAATTCACCAGAGACAGAGCAGGGAACAAAATAGGCAGATCAATGAAGTACACTGCTAAGGGGACTATCCCAGGAGACAGGAGAGATCTGGTGTACCATGTGGGTCACCTCCCTGGCTGGTTATTGTACTGGTGCTGAAGCGGCTCTGGCTAGCTTCATAGTGCTTCACTTCAATGCGTTCAACCACCAGGGAGGACCCTATTGTGATGTTCTAAGGAGCAGTTATTTTTTTTTTATTTTTTATTTTTATTTATTTTTATTTTTTAAAGATTTGTTTATTTATTCATACAGAAGTGGAGTACAGGCCACAGATGTGGAGGGTGATAGGATTCACCAGAGACAGAGCGGGGAGCAGAACAGGCAGATCAACGAAGTACACTGCTGAGGGGAGCAGCGGGCGGGTCAGGAGAGGTCTGCCACACCATGTGGTCACCTCCGGGGCAGGCAGGGATCAAACTCATGCGGAAGTGGCTTTAGCTTCTCAGTGCTGTGCTTTAACCTGCTGCGCCACCAGGGAGGGCCTGGAGCAGTTATTTTAAGGTGTTCTTTTCAGCCCTACTAATTTTAAGCCTAATTTTAAAAGCATTATTTAATCACAAATGTTTAAAACCAGAAGTAGTTTTATTTGTCTGTATTGTTATTTGCTTTTCCTGTGTTATGAAGGGTGAACTATACTTACAGAAGTGCTCCAGCATTCACTTCATTAACAGGTATATTCTGTGCATCGGCTGACATTTTAGGTATCTTTAGCTGCTGTGAGGACCATTTAAGTAATCCACCCATAAAGAATTTATTTCTAGGTGGCATGGTATTATTGATTTGTTTTTAAAACATATGAAACTATATGTATATATGAATTACATACATACGATGGATAATATAATCCATAATCAATATTAATAAAGATCCAAATGACTTTGGAAACTTTTCTTTTCAAAATACAGCTTAATTTGACTCATATTCTGTGTTTTCTTAATATTAGTGATTTCTTTTTATCAGTAGATCAGTGGCTCTTATTCCATTTTAGAAGAGAAAAATGCATTTCATTGTTAAATATATCTTTGTTATAGTTTTTTTTTTTTTTTAAAGATTTATTTATACATACAGAATTGGGGTAGAGGCCAGATGTTCAGGGGGTAAAAGGATTCACCAGAGAGAGTGGGGAGCAGAACAGGCAGGCGTACTGAAATAACACTGCTGAGGGTATTTGTAAGCTGGTCCAGAGAGTTCTGCCACGCCATGTGGGTCACCTCCTTGGCTTGGGATTAAACGTGTGCTGCAGTAGCTTTGACAGCTTCATAGTACTGTGCTTTTAACCCACTGTGCCATGGGGGAGGACCCTGTTAGAGGTTTTTGTAAAAATACATACTCTGTATCAAATTAAGGAAATTGATTTCTGCTCCTGATTTGTAAAAGTATATTGTGTTGGTGTATGCATACTGAAATTTCATGCTTTTTCAATTTATTCAAGTTATTATATTACATTTAAACTTAGTTGTAAAAATAAATTATGTGACTTTTTTTTTCCAGTTTTAGACCAACCATGTATTTTTGAAATTGACTCTAGATTTTAAGACTTTTGTGTGTATTTTTCATGAGTGAAATGGGACTATAACTTTCCTCTATTCTAATGACTTTAACAGATTTTGATATTAAGCTCATGGTACCCTCTAAAATATATTGGGAAATACTTAAGATGTTACAGTTTTCAAAATAGATTGTTATGAAATTGTTGTGATTTATTTCTAGAATGTTTGTTAGAATTCACCAAGGAAACCAAATCATCTGTAGCCTGCAGTTGTCTTTGTATGAAGATTTTAAATTATGAATTCTATTTTATTATATATAGGACAATTCATTCTTTTTTTTTGATAAAGAATGAACATGTTTATTTTATCTGATTTTTAAATATATGGTGACATAAAAAATGACAATCTTTTTATTGTAATATCTGTAGTGATGTACTGTTTTTATTCCTGACTTTGAAGATGTGTGCCGCCTTTTTCATTTATAAATTTTGGTAGCAGTTTAGTTTTATTAGTTTTTTTCCCATCAAAAATCCATTGTTTTGCTTTGTAGGAGAATATTCGTTTTCACTAATTTCTTGCTTTAATTTATACTATATTCTGCCTTTTTTCATTTCAGGTTTTCTTCTAAATTGCTGCACATCATAAAGTATTGTCTGCTCCAGCAGACTTTTAATTAATGTTACTAAAGGTTTAAAATAAAAGAACAAGTGATAATTGATTTTATTTTTTCAAAAATTTATTTATGCATACAGAACTGGGGGGTACAAGCGAGAGGTGTGGGAGGTGAGAGGGTTCACCGGAGACAGAGTGAAGAGCAGGACAGATTGGCTAAAATACACAGCTTAGGGGAGCAGCAGGAAGGACAGGAAAGGTCTGCTGGTCCATGTGGTTCATCTGCCTGGCTGCATATCCTATTGAACTCCTGCTGCAGTGGCTTCGGAGAGCTTCACAGTGCTGTGTTTTAACTCATTGTGCCACCAGTGAGGGCCCTGACCATTAATATTTTTATAACAGTAGTCATAGCGAACATCATATGATTTTAATGATGTAAATTTTCAAATACCATACATATTCATTTAATTGCCAACTTTGCAAAATAGGTATCATTGTTCTCATTTTTCAAATTCATGTTTGTTGGGGCTAAACTGATTTCTTATTTTTGGATGTTTTTCTTTTAGGATATGATGACACCTATAAATTTGGGGGAAAAGACCATTTATTTAGTTTCATTCTTTGAAGGCTTACAGCGCATTATTTTATTCACTGAAGATCCAAGAGTATTTAGAGTTACATATGAAAGTGAGAAAGCAGAGTTAGCAGAACTAGAAATTGTATTGGCATTACAAGATGTTGGAATTTCACTAGTCAACAATTACACAAAGCAAGAAGTAGCCTACATTGGCATTACAAGGTTAGATGCATTAAAATTTTAATAGATTTAAATGATGATCTTTAAATCACTAAGAATAGTAATTGTAATATCTTAGCCCTCCTCTTTGTTTTATGATTTCAAATTCTGCATATATGCCATGAAATTATCTTCAACCAGACATTTGTCCTGAATTCCAGACTTACATATTCATCTACCCATACAATATCTCTACTCCTATTTCTAAGAGACTTTTATGTATAAAGCCAGACTTCTAATCTCTTTCACCAAACCTACTTCACCACTAGTGTAAAGGACAACTACTTCCTCTTTGTGTAACATCCTACATCTAATCTATCTAAAAGTTCCTTGCCGGTTCTGCCATCCTAACATTCATAGAATCTAACCCCTTTTCACAACCTTTTTTAGCAGAGCATTTGCTGTTTGTCTCCTGACTTCCTGTATTAAATTCAATAAAGAATTGAAATTAGGAATGAAATTTCCTTATCTTCATCCCTTTTTTTGCTTTCCCTTCATCCCAGGACATAGTTCATTGTTCATAAAGCTTAAGGTTGATCATGTCACTGCCTCATAATCTTTATTGGTTCCTTATGTCAGAATAAAATTCAGCCTTTGCCAGGCACTGCAAGAGTTTACATTATTTTACCTTCCTCTGTCTTCAGTTATCTTCTGTTCTTAATGCGTCCAAGCATCTTAGTCTCCTTTGCCTTTCATTATAGTTCTAGGTGTGCTCTGTTTTGGAGATTCTGCTCTTGATGTTCACTCTCCCTGAGCTACTCATATTGTCTGCTGGATAATTCCCTCATCTCTTTAAATTTGCTAAAATCTTACCTCTGTGAGGTCTCTGTTGAGCACTCTGTTTTAATATTTAGCCCCTACCATATTGCACATCCCAGTACCCCAGATCTGCCTTACCCTGATTACTTTCTGTTTCCAAGTTATTTTCACCTCACTATGTAGTAATATATACTAACATAATTACCACTTAATGCCCTTCATTCTTCTGCTAAAATAAAGCTCTAGAATGACAAAATGTTTCTCAGCCACTTACAATAGTGCCTGAAGAGGAGTTTAATAAGTATCAGCTGAATGAATTCATGTTTTTGAATTTGTGATCTGCTTGTTTATAATTGAGGATATGTAAAAGAATTTGTGATCTGTTTGTTTATAATTGAGGATATGTAAAAATTTTATTAGAATAGTAATTACATCGAATAAGCCAGTTAAAATGAAAATGTTAAAAATCTGTGCTATGGTATTTGCTTTTACATGTAAGTTCTGACGTGGTTTGGGAGACCAAGCCCAAGAAGAAGTCAAGATGGAAGCCAATGAGTATAAAGCACACTGAGAAATTAGAGAAAGAATTTAAAGAATATACCGAATCTTCGCCTTCAGAAGATAAGGTTGTTGAATTGGACACCAATACTCCGGTAATACTTTTAATTACTGATAGAAAGTTTTAATTTTTATCTTGTATCTGAAAAAAATCAGTAATGAATGTTTTTAAAAAGTCTGTTTTCCTTAAAAAATAAATTGAACACAATTCTAAGATACATGCTTTATATAAAACACTCTAAGGAGGTACTTACTAACCCAGTTTTCTTTTAAGATATGAATGATCTGTTTGGGTTAACAGGAAATCAATCACTTAGTGATTCATTGATTTTATCTTAAAATTTTTTCTGTAACGCTTCATTTTTTGTTTTATTGTGGACATAGAAATGATACAACTGAGCTGAAGGATTATAAATTTGTAAATGTTATGCATTTCCAATTTTTTAGCCTTATTAGTACAAATTTTAAACTTTTTTTCAATTAAAAATAAAGAATAATCCGTGCTTTTTTGTTTGGGGGGGGCATATTTTTTTAGGTTCGCTTCACACCAAGTGGTACTAACATGAAAATTCTGCAACCACATGTAATAGCTATACGTAGAAATTATCTTCCAGCATTAAATGTAGAATATAGCACATCTGCACATCAGTCATCATTTAGAGTTCAAATTTACAGAATACAGGTGAGTCTGACAATATAGTCAAATTATATTCTAACAATAAACCAAATTTATTCCAGAAGTCTATTTTATGTACTTAGATTCTGTATTAGGCTAGATTTTTTTATTTCTACTTCTCAAATTCTGTTACTCTAATCAGGTATGTAATTAATATACCAACCTGTTTTTTATTTTCTTAGATCCAAAATCAGATTCATGGTGCTATATTTCCATTTGTGTTTTATCCTATTAAACCTCCCAAATCAGTCACCATGGACTCAGGTTTGTATTTTTAGATTGCTATTGAAGTGTTTGTATTTACTGTTTTTTTTTTTAATTTTACTGTAAAATGTGAAATGAAATTATTCTCAAATGTAATTTCCGAAGAATCATTGAAAAATAGCTTGAAAATGGATCAGCAAGTACTCAACAAAACTAAGTGAAATACAAAGACTAAACTAATTAGTGACATAAATTTACGGTCTTCAAAATAATATATTTTTTTAAAGATTTGTTTATACATACAGAACTGGGGTACAGTTCAGATGTGTGTGGGCGAGAGGACTCACCAGAGACAGAGTGGGGAGCAGGACAGACATATTGACGAAGTACACTGCAGAGGGGAGCAGCAGGGGAGACAGGAGATGTCTGCTGTGCCATGTGGGTCACCTCCCTGGCTGGGGATTGAACTAGCGCTGCAGTGGCTGTTCGAGCCTCGTAGTGCTATGCTTTAACCCTCTGTGCCACCAGGAAAGGCCTGAAATAATAATTAAAAAAAAAAAAAAAGGCTAACTTATAAACCTTCACAAATTGAACCCTTTATTTAAAAGTCACTGGGAATTGTTCAAATAATGTTTTCTAACCAGGGAAACTCTCCTATATTCTCCAGATGATAACTGTCAAGCTCTTTCTCATCCCTCTTTTTCCCTTTTTTTGTTACCCAACTTCCCCCACTTTCTCTTTCCACCTCACTTTATTCCCTTTCCTTCATTCCCCTTTCACGTCTATTGTCACCCTGACCTCACACCACATTCATAATTTGCTTGAAAACAACATTACTACTATCACCTCCCCAAATACCCTTCAACCTTATGTGGGGCACGACCCTGAAATTGCTACCTTCACAAAGTTTCTTTGGTCATTCTCATGGAGTAAATACAAATAATTTTTTAAATCTCTCTAAAATAAAATTGTTACAGATCTTGCAAATAACCATAATTTTTATGACATTCATAATTTAGTCAGTGATTCAGTTGTCCTTTGTGCTGTGTATTTAAATATTAAGTTGCTTAGTTTTTACTTGACCTATCAATGCATTAATCATATTTATTATTCTTTGCAGCTCCAAAACCATTTACAGATGTCAGTATTGTCATGAGATCTGCAGGGCACTCCCAGATATCACGTATTAAGTAAGTGCCCTAATACAACCCTTATGTGTTTATTGAATAATATTAAGTATGAACTCATTGTACTTAATAGTAATTTGAGTATAAAATACTAACTGCTAAGGTCATTTTAAAAATTAGTGCAGAGCCTTCTTAGAGAAAGCGCTAAATGAAATGTGCCTAGGTATTAACAACAGATATTTGTAAACTGTGGGCATTTTCTTTTCCATTTGTTGTCTATAGTTCCTGAATATTATTTTAGAATCATGAAAAAAATGTTTTCAAAATTATTTCCCAGGCAGTCTAGTAAAATGAAATTGATAGAAACATCCACATATATATTATACTCCTATTTCATGTTTTCTCCATCCTATCAACCAAGATAAACATTATCTTTATTGCCTTCTCTTTTTAAAATATAGTCTTTTTTGTGCCTATACACCATGCTTCTCAGTTTTCCCTTCCTAGCTTTAACAAAATGGGTTCAATATGCAGATCTGATGCTGGGGTTTGCTTTTTTTCATTCAGCTTTTTTACTAAAATCAATTTTGTATAGTAAGGGTTTTTTTTTTTTTTTTTTTACGATTTACTTATGCATACAGAACTGGGGTACAGGCCAGAGGAGCAGGGGCAGTGAGAAGATTGACCAGATACAGAGTTGGAGCAGAACAGGCAGATCCAGGAAGTACACTGCTGAGGGGAGTGGTGGCAAGACAGGAGATGTCTGCTGTGCCATGTGGGTCACCTCCGGGGTCAGGGATTGAACTTGCAATTTAGCTGTTGCTAACTTGCAGTGCTGCTTCCTAACCCATTGTGCACCAGGGAGGGCTATAAGAGTTTTTTTTTATCACTAATACATAATATCCTATGCTATGACTAAAGACCACAATTTATTTATCAATTTCCTCCTAAGGCATTTTCTTATTTCTTAGTTTTTTTGATATTATGAAAAGTGTTACCGTGACAATTTTTACTTTATCTAGAAAGTTCTGAGTTTCAACATTCTGATTATTTAACACTTTTTCCCTCATCTAATTTTACTAATGCAGTTAATTGATTTTTAAATGTATTCTGCTTTGCAAAAACAGGTATTTCAAAGTGTTGATCCAAGAAATGGATCTCAGGTTAGATCTTGGATTTGTATATGCTCTCGCAGAACTGATGACAGAAGAAGTGGTATCAGAAAACACAGAGGTAATAACAATATTAGTGTTGATGGGAAAGATTAGGGACAGGAGAGCATAAAATACTATCACAGTTTCTTAACGGGAATAAAGTGGTCTTGTGTCATTTGAAAAACATTTAAAACAATTTTTTTTTTATGCTGCTGAGTACATTGATCAGAAGTTACGTTTTCAGATTACAGAAATTGGAAACAAGACAAGTTAAAATAGCTTCTTTTAAGATTAGTAAGATCCAGGAAAGGTTTTAGGCCAATGGTAGAGGAAGAAGAGGATAATCATGTTAATGTCATTGCTTTTCCTATTTTGTTTTCATTAATTAAACAATAGGTCATAAATGAATATTTGATATGAGAAGGAATAAAGCAAATGAAAAGTATCACTTTATGACAGGCTATAAAATTAGTGATAGGGTGGATCAGATATAGTCTCCTTTTTTTTCAGGTGTAGTTACTGACCTTTATTCAGTTGGTTTTAAATACTCTATATGATTCAGAGGATCACAGGTTTTCAAATGTATATCGCCATCTGTACACACCAGAAAAGCACCAGTCGTTCTCTAAGATAGTTCAGAGGGTCTCCACCTCCCCTGTATTAGCATCTGTACAGTCAGACTTATAAGGATTGTTAATGGTTTGGCTCTGTCTGACTCTTTTTATTTTCTCTGTATTCCACATATAAATGAAACTGTCCAGTATTTGTCTTTCTCCCTCTGGCATATTTTGCCATAGAAAGAATTCTGAAGATGAGGACGAACGACATGAATAAGACAAAGCAAATGTAATGTTTTCCTTTCAGTAACAGTTATTGATATGTAATCCATCTCTCTTACATTTTATACATGCAAAGTATACAGTTTGATAGTTGTTAAGAATATTTGCAGAGTTGTACATCCATCACCTAATTCCAAAACATTTTCATCATCCACAGCAAAAACTCCTCTAGCCCCTGCTACCACTGTTCAAATCAAGCACCACTTAACATTTCTATCAACAGAGTGGGCAACATATAGGATAGTGTTCGCAACAAGATAGCCCATATAGTTTAGACTATACCATGTCACCTAAGGTTTGTGTAATTATACTCTGATTTTCATATAATGACAATATTCCCTAATTGGTTAATGAAAAATGCCTAAATGTTGTAGGTGGACAGTGATTATATCTTACAAAACACATAAGTATTGCTTTCTTGGACTAGTGATCACTTGGATATAATCTAGTCACCTGAAGAAAAACTTAGTGTCTTCTAATAGATTCTTTAGAAACAGAACATATGCTTATCAGATGTTTCCTAGCAATAGTAATTTTAGTTTTCCTTCTAAGACAGTAAATTTCTAATCATGAACAGAGTTGAATCTGAATAGGTTAGAGGAGTGTTCTGCATTCGCAAGCTACTGACTTGAATGCCTTTTGCATATATGTCCCCTAAGTTTTTAATATTTTATCTTCCTTTATAGGTTGAACATTTTCATAAAGACATAGAAGCTTTCCAAGAAGATTGTAAAACAGATACATTTGTAGATTCTTCACAAGTCAGTCTCTATGAATACTTTCATATATCTCCTATCAAGGTAGGAGAAAAGCAAGTCATCTATAATATCTTTGGTAATATCGATAATAGTAAATTGACTTGTTTGAGGGAATGTAACATTTAAAGTAGGTTCTAAAATAGTATATAAACTCTTGAAGCTTCACAATTATACATGTAGTAACAAAGGATTAGTCTTTTCAACTTTTTCATTTACTCATAATAGTTTTTCACCATGTGAGAAAGCAAAACCACTTATACCATGTATTAATATGTTTATATCTTCACTTAACATTATGTTCCTAGTTTCCTGTGGACTTATCTGGGGCAGTTTTCAAAATTGTATGTATGATGTGTGTATAAATTTTAAATTAATTTAAAAAGGAACTTTGATTTAAGAATTGAATATTGATTTGAACTATAGGTAAATTATTAATGCAAGATTTCCGGGTTGCATAATAGTGAGGAAAATTATTGTGCAACTATATGTGAACTATACCTCTATATGCATATAGTGCAAAAGTACGTTTTAACAGAATTTTAATTATGTTAATTTCATTCTAGTATTTGAAACATTAATTTTTGAAGATATTTGAGTTATTTTAGCAACTTAGTTTCTAGATTATTAATGTCATTAACAAATACATGAATATTAATATTTTCCTAGGTTATCCAAAACAACTGTACTAAATATGTAACTACCACCCATCACTGAATTAAAATTTTTAAAAAGCTCTTTTGGATTTTAAACTTTCACTTCCCACATGTTTTTGCGTCATCCAAGTAATATTGAAATCCTATTTATACTTTATGAATTTGAAATGAAATTGAATTTTGAATGTCAAACTGTCATTATGAAGAAAATGCTCTAAATATTTCTCTTTATCTCCTAGTTGCATTTAAGTGTTTCACTGAGTACTGGTAAAGAAACCAAAGATTCAGAACAACATGGAGGATTGATTGCAGTTCATTCTTTAAATCTTTTACTGAAGAGCATTGGTGCCACTCTTACGGATGTACAAGATGTAGTTTTTAAGTATGTTTAATAGTCAAAGCTGTTTATTTGATTAAAAGTCCATTTTCACATTTACCTAAATGTCTTATAAGTAAAAAAGTGTACGAAATAAATTGTAGATCAGAGAGAAAATACGATTTTGCTGTTAAATGCAATACAATTTAAGTTCATATTTCCTGCTAACTCCTGCTGATAACAGAATAATTTTTAAGTAATTTTCTTAGGAAGTGGGGACAGAGACCATAAAGTTTATATATATTTAAGACATTCCTGACAGAAGGAGGATTTCATTAGATGAAATAGATCGCAAAGGTATGGTACTTCAGAGAGGTGACTTCAAGTCCTACAGGAGAAAAACAATTCAAACGTGTGACTAGAACAAACTGAATGCTATGATGGGGGAGGTGAAAGGATCAGTTTAAACTTGCAGTCAAGAATTTACATGTTGATGTGAGTCATAATAGAATCTATTATTATAGCTGGCCAAAGAAACAAAGAGTTTCAGTGGAAATGACCTTTTCAGTAGCAGTTGGAACTGTTATTAAGAGCAGTAGTAAGAATCCTTGAGGCTAATAAGATGTAACTCTAAATTTTTGTAACATTAGATAATACACCAAAAAAAGATTTGAAGACATTGGGGGGAAAATGAGATTTCTGCTGTAATATCTGTTAGCATAGAGCTCCCAGTTAACTGGTTTGGGATGTGCTATGGGTGGGTTATAAGTCAGCCCATCTTCATTCCTCAGCTGTCAGCTGATCAGGCAGAACCTGTAGTAACAGAATTCTGACCACTCTTGAGCAACCATTTTTCCCCCTTTATCTCAATGTGTTAAATGTTTTCTATGCAGCATTAATAGGACAGAGTTGAGAACACATCATATCCATAAGTGGGATCCAAGGGGGTCTCTGAATCTCTTAAATAATGTGAAAATAATAACATGAAAATATTCTTAAAGGTTCTATAAGCAGGTTGTAAAAGAGTAAATTTTCTGATTAACATGACAGCATATATTAAAAGGAAATATTTGAAGAAAAATTTTAGAGAAAATAAAACCATTATCAGAAACATTCTGATAAATTCCTACATACTATGTGTGTGTGTGTTTATACATTTATGTTTTCTTCAGGCTTGCTTTTTTTGAACTCAACTATCAGTTCCATACAACATCTGAACTTCAGTCTGAAGTAGTAAGACACTATTCAAAACAGGTATGTCATACTATCTTACAGAGGCACACAGTGTGGCATAGAACGGTGAAAACATAGGTGTGTATTTATACAATTTAGATTTGGGAAGGAAGAGAATAAAGATTTTCAAAGACTTAAAACATGTTTTATTTTCTTAGAATTGTTGAAAGAAATTGAGCTCAATCGCTGTTTCAATTTTTTGTCCTTTTTTTAGGCACTGACAAACCTTTCCTGGATTAGTATGGGCTATATATAAATCTATAAATATTTTCTAAGAATTTCACCACTCTTAAAAAGAGTTGGTATAAGGGAAACTATGAGTAAGAATTTATGAATACAGCAAACTTTCAGTATAATTGAGTTGTTGACCCAGCTAGATAAATTATGTTAATAGATTTACTCGGTAAATTCAAAGCATCTCAGACAGCTGTTGCAAAATAGACAGATCACTGAGCATGAATCAGAAAATCAGGAGTTAAATCCTAGTTTGCCATTTACTCACTCTGTGACCCAGAGCATTATTTATCCATGTTTCTCTGGTGTGGTGCCCGCCCTGGTGGTGCAAGGGATCACAGCGCAGCACTATGAAGCCACTGCAGTACGAGTTTGATCCCCAGCCAGAGAGGTGACCCCTATGGTATAGCAGACCTCACCTGTCTCACCCGCTGCTCCCCTTAGCAGTGCATTTCAGTCAGTCCACCTATTTTGTTCCCCACTCTGGTGAATCCTCTCACCTCCACACCTCTGGCCTGTACCCCAGTTTCTTGTATGCAGAAATAAAAAGATAAATCTTTTTTTAAAAATGGGGCCATATTTCTCTGGCATATGAAATGATGGTGGTAATACAAGTATCACACATTGTTATAAAAGTGAAAGAATATGAATATTCTGAAGCTTCATGTAAATGTTATTTTGCAAGTATAGCAATATTGTAATACTAAATTGCCTCTTAAAATTAAGAATAGTGATGAATAAGGTGAAGGAAATGTGGGTTAGGTATTGAAAATGGTGGTAAGGGTGTTAATGGGAAAAGACTGTTCTAAGTGAAAAAACACTGTCTTATTCTAAATTGATTTAATGCTCATATTTCATTTTTAGGCCATTAAACAGATGTATGTACTTATTCTTGGACTTGAAGTTTTGGGAAATCCCTTTGGTTTGATTAGAGAATTTTCTGAAGGTGTAGAAGCATTTTTTTATGAACCTTATCAGGTAAAACGGCTACTCTGTCTTGTATTACAGTAATACATTTGAATAGATAATGCATTGTAAGTTTTACCTTGAGTTGTAGGACAAGTAAATTTTGGGAGACACAATAAAGGACATAAAATGTTTTTGCAGTAAACAGAGGTAAGAGGAGTTGAAAAATTTATGGAGAAATTTTTACCTTTTTTCTCAAAATTTAAACCTAAGAATTTGCTTAGAGGTACTGAATTTTAAGGGTTCTATAAGAATATTAAAGGGAGATAAATTTCACACTTGGCTAACAGGAATAGCAACAAAGCAGGTGATTTTGCTTTTCAGAATAGTGTGAGAGCAAAAATAACTGCAAGCTGACATTCCATAGAAGTCTTAGTAATGGCAAAAATTAATGATTGTTCTGTTCCAAAACATCCAAACCCTCCCATTCCCACTTAACACGTGTAATGAAAAACTAAAACAAGTATCTGTTTTACACACTGGAATTAAAATCATTAGAAATATTAAGAATTAAAGTAGTTTGTGCTTACCTTTTCCTCACATAATTTACAATGTGGAGCAACTTTTTTTTTTTTGGTATGCATTAGTAAATAATCATATTGCTTTATAAGTTGGAGTCAACTTCCAATATTTTGTCCTTTGTAGTTTCAATGTTGAAATAGCTCTTGGAGAATTCAGTTAATGTAAAGTTTATTAGCTGGTATCACTTTCTTAAGGCATTTTTTTTCTTTTTTGTCATTTTTATTAATATCAGTAAGTTAATTTTTTAATGTAAATATAACATCATCATCTCCATTATTATTTGACTCCTTAGGGAGCCATCCAGGGTCCTGAAGAGTTTGTGGAGGGCATGGCACTAGGACTAAAGGCACTAGTTGGTGGAGCTGTTGGTAAGAATGCCTAAGTGGTGTGACTGTGCTTTTAGATAATCTATTTACTGTTATTAAAAAGTTGATAATTTCTGTAGGTGGATTAGCTGGTGCTGCCTCCAAAATCACCAATGCTATGGCTAAGGGGGTAGCAGCTATGACTATGGATGAAGATTACCAACAGAAGAGAAGAGAAGCCATGAATAAGCAACCAGCTGGCCTTAGAGAAGGCATCACTCGTGGAGGGAAAGGCCTAGTTTCTGTAAGAAATTTTTCAGGGTTGTGAACATTTCAGAGAATATCTTAAAACCCCTATTCTGTGAATAAACACACACACACACACCCCTTACTCCCTCAAGTATTTGAATTTGGAAAAGCAGTATATAAAATATGTTAATAGCTTCTAACATAATTTTGTTTAAATGAAATACCTTAGCAATATGTTAATTTTTAATGTAATCTTGAAAGAATTCTGTATTTTACTGTAAGTCATATTTGATTCTTCATTATGAACGTATTGTAAATTTTCACTGTCCTTTCCTCTAGGGTTTTGTAAGTGGCATAACAGGAATCGTTACCAAGCCAATCAAAGGCAAGTATAGTAGTTCCTTGGATTATATGTATATCAAGTCTTTCACAGTTGATTCTATTTTGATTCTTACTACATTTGTTTAAAACTGTCTTTTGGCTTTTAGGAGCTCAAAAAGAAGGGGCAACTGGTTTCTTTAAAGGCGTTGGGAAAGGTTTGGTTGGAGCAGTGGCAAGGCCAACTGGAGGCATCATAGACATGGCTAGCAGCACGTTTCAGGGAATAAAAAGGTAAATATAAAAAGTGAGTAAAATACTTAAAACACAAGAAATAAATATGTTGATTAGATTAAGTCACTTGGTTATGAACCCTACAATGCCCAGTTGCATATCCTCTAAATTCTTTTGATCCTTAAGTTGTTGCCATTATTTCAACTTTACAAAGCTCTCTTTTATCATTTGCTTCCAAAGTCTTAGTAAGAAAGGCTTGTCAGATAAAGAAAGATTTTCAGTTCTCTTGATTGAAATACATTACAATAGTATAATGCTATATTTCAGTTACAAAAACAGCAAATTAATATTCTGATCACCTTTTTGGAGAAATAAAGTATAGCAATTTTATATCCTAGCTCAAACTCTGCTTGTGTTCACCCTTTGTATAGTCTAATTTTGTTATGAAACTATTGCCTCTATTCTGTTTTACTTCATTCGTTCAAATAACTTTAGGTATGTTTTCTCTTTCTCCATATTTAACTTAAGACTGAGATCTGGTAGTTGAATTGTTGTAACTTTTGTTTGAGAAACTTGAAGCAGTCATAAGTGATTGAATTCAAGGTAATGAGACCTGGTGTTGAAAGTCAGATAGGTGGATATCAGTTTCTTTTTGTATAATACATTCATTCACTTCCTGCTCTGTAGGGATTAGTACTGTCATTGTAAAAAATTCTTCTTGAATCAGTATTTCTGCTGCTTACCATAATTTTATGCTTAATTTAGAGGATGGAAAAATGGCTTCTAATTCTTCTATCTGTAACTTTAATTTCGTGAATAAAATGTGTTGAGTCATAGTCATCCTCATGTAAACTCAAATGCATATGATGTATGACAGTATGCACAAAAAGCACTAAAGAATCCACTAAAAAATTGCTGAAGGCCCTCCCTGGTGGCGCAGCGGGTTAAAGCACTGCACTGAGAAACTAAAGCCACTTCCGCATGAGTTCGATCCCCGCCTGCCCCGGAGGTGACCACATGGCGTGGCAGGCCTCTCCTGACCCGCCCGCTGCTCCCCTCAGCTGTGTACCTCCTCAATCTGCCTGTTCTGCTTCCCGCTCTGTCTCTGGTGAATCCTCTCACCCTTTGCATCTCTGGCCTGTACCCCAGTTCTGTATGAATAAATAAATAAATCTTTAAAAAAACAAAATTGCTGAAAACTTTAAATTTTTCCAGAGAAGTGTCAAAGTACAAATCAGTGTACAAAAGTCTGTTGAGTTCCTTTGTGCAAACAATAGAAGAGAAAGAAATCAAGAGAACAGTTCCTTTGATGAGTACATTTAAAAAGAATTACAGTAGGTATCTAGGAATAAACTTAACAAAGGAGTTAAAAGACCTGTAAAATAAAAGCTGTCAGACTTAAAAAGGATAGTCCCTGCTCATGGATTGGAGGAATTAGAATTGTTAAAATGGCCATCTTACCCCAAAGCAATATATAGATTTAATACATTCCTTATCAAAATTCAGTAGCTCTCTTCAAGGAAATAGAGCAAAAATTACTGAAATATGTACAGAAACACAGAAGACCCAGATAGCCAAAACAGTTCTGAAAACAGAGAACAAAAGATAGTCTACTCCCAGACTTCTTATTTTGTTAATTCTATGTAAACATTAAAAAACCATATAATGTAAGTTAAGCATTAGTATATTGAAAGCAATAATTCATGTGATCACAGAATGAAAAACACTCTTAATGAAGTCTATTGCCCATTTAAGATTTTCAGGAACTACTAACAAACTAAAAGTAGAATTGAACTTTCTTGCTTAGAAAACAAAATAAAAATCACTAATATCTGTACTTCATGGATAGCTCTAGAAGCTTTCTCTTTAAAGTCAGTAGTGAGACTAATATTCCTGTGGTTCCATCTTGTATTTAGTATTATACTAAAAGAAATAGACTGTCTTAAGTAATGGTCTTTAATTTTCCAATTTGTATAAAAGTTTGTATTCATTATTTACTGATGCTCTGATTACTATTGTGAAGAAAGTCCATAATTCTTTAATAAACTTGCATTTCTATATTCTAGGAAAGTTACAATGTATCATAAAAACCAATTTTAAAATAGAGAAGTGATTCCAGTTACAAAATAAGTCAAGGAGGTAATAATGTACATCTTGGGAGATAGAATCAACAGTACGGTTTGAATTTGCAAATTTGCAAGTTATTAAGAAAATGCAGAATAGACTTGTCATAATGATTTCACAATAGATAAAAATGTTGAATCATTCTACATCTGAAGCTAAAATATTCTGTCAATTATACTTCAGTAAAGAAAATTAGAAGTGATGTAATATAAATATATATAACATTACAGTATATAATAAATACATTACATGTATGTAATAAATTACACATATATAAAAATGTAAAAAGACTTTTTTTTTAACGGTTGCAATTTAAATTGTACTTGAAGTTTTCGGATGTTTTTTATATCCACTTTGTTTCAATTTAGAGCCACAGAGACTTCTGATGAAGTAGAAAGTCTGCGACCCCCTCGGTTCTTTAATGAAGATGGCGTTATTAGACCTTATCGGTGGAGGGATGGTACTGGAAATCAAATGTTGCAGGTGGGTGAAGAAATAAAGTAAGATTAACCTAGTCAAGTAGTTTTTTAAAAGTGGATATGTAGTGCTTTAAAAATCTGTGTATAAGATCTTTTTGGCCTTTATATGTGCTGTTTAATTCAATAGGCTTCTTAAATTTAGGTTTTAACATATTTTTATTTACTATAAGACTTTTCTTTTCTTTTTTACAGGCATCAAAAAGTTTGATATGAAAACAATTAATGCATGACTTTGCAAGTGAAAACCAACAGTAGATTTTAGTCTTAAAATTTACAAACTTCATACAGCTGTTTCAGTATTTTGAATACAAAGAAAAGCTTTTGTATTGGTAACTTTTGGTATAAGAAATTTAGTGACTCTGATCTTTTTATAGGGTATCTTTAGTTCTGTACTGAATTTGTTTGCTAAACTTGTTGAAAGCCATTATATCTTACATACCTTAATGGTGGTACTTATTTAGCCAATATAGGCAATTTCTGTTTAGGGTTCTTTCTGTACATTAAACCACTAACAGCTTTTATACAAGATGGAATCCTCATTCTCAATTTAGACATGGATAAAGAAAAAAATCAGGATCACTGTTATTGGAAATTTCCTTGGATTCTTAGGCTTTTCTTTTGAGGATGCTTAAATGGCAATGAACTATTCCTGCATATGCTTTTGTAGGTCTCTTTGAAACCTTGTGAAATTTTGATAAGCAGTTCACATGAAAGTCAACATTTTAGTAAAGAAAACTAACTTTAGAACAATAGGTCATTTTAAATTAGAATATTTCACCTGTTTAGGCAACTTTCTTTGTAAATTGAACTTTTAAAAATCTCTATTATGAAAAAAGGTAACATACATCAATTTAGAGTCAGTTCTGTGGTTTAGATGTGGAATACTAAATAAAATGATATGTTTGAAAAACAAGGAGCCATTATGTTGTATAGAAGTGAAAATATTTGATGTAATAATAAAATGTGGGGATGTGGTAATTTCTTTTTAGTTTAATATTGAAAATGTTGTCATGTTTAAAGTTGATCAGGCTAAAGATTTAAAACTTTGATATTTTGCCTCATTATATACCAAGTATATTACTTTGTATAAAATATAATTTCATCTATTATGGTAAAACATAACAACAGAGCTAATGTGCAGTACTTAGTAAAATATATTGACATTGTGTTCAAAATGTATTTAAAGCATCAAAATTATTGCATATTGGAGCTGAACTGGCAATCTAGTGAGAGGTTATACTACAGACTGTATTTTATACAATCTCTACAGGGACTTTATGTTAATCTTTAAGAAATAGAAATGTTGCAGAGGTCACCTGTTGTTAATACGATTGAGGCATATTTCTACCCAATACTAGTAATTACTTGGCAGAACACAATTAACATGTTACTAACATTTTACTATACTAATTAGCAAATCATCTTATAAAAACAAAGTATTTCTTGAGAAGCTAATACACGCAGTAGAAAGTAAGGATGAGTAGTGAGGATAGCTTAGAAATACATCCTTGTTATCAGGAAACAGATTATAATACATGAAGTCAAGAAAAAGAAAGATACCTCAGTTTATAACTTGATTTCAGTTAACTGGTAAATCTATTCTACATCTTTAGTAATTTCTTTATAAGATTTTATAGTTTAGAATTAAACACTATGAATTTTGACTATATTTTAAAAGATGCTGATTAATTTTAGCAGGCTAGTCTGAACATTAATTGCTATAAATCACTAAAACCTCACAGTCCTTGTCATCTGTGACTTGATTTTTTTAGCAAGAACATTAAGCAAAGTTCTAACTGAAGTGGGATTTCACCAGCATTCTTAGGATGTTTGTGGTTAACATTTGCATGTAGATACCTAAGATGTGGATTGTTGATATGGTGAATCAAAACTCTAATGTATTGTTTGCAAACAGTTTAAAATTACATGAAAACCAGTACTCTAAGAAGTAGCTGACATAAACAGGATTTAAAATTTTAACTGCCTGTTTACACTAAACCACTTAATATAAATAGTTTAATGATGGTACCCTTAGAAAATGTTTAATATTTAGAAATGTTTCTCCTTTCATTTTCTAATTTCTCCAAAATAAGAACTCTTTGTTAAATAAGTTGCATATGCCCATAAATGATAATTAAATATAAAATACATTCATTGATTATGTACCTTCTATCCAGAAAGTAGCACATTATTTTAGCATTTCCTAGTGTCAACATTGTGTACTAGGTAAATATAAGGAAAATTCCAATATATTCACAGAATATCTTATTGGTATCATCAAACTATTTTATATTGCATTTTTACCAACCAGTACATTACAGGGTCTGTTTAAGTCATGGAATATTAGTAATTTCTGCTCAACTCAGCTGAGAAATCTCCTTCAAAATTATTCTGACTTGTCACTTAAACATTTCATAATTTAACATGTTTTCCAAGCATTTTACCATATTTAACTAACCTTTGTACTTCTTTTTTTCCTTTACCATGCTTACAGAAAATTCAGGTCTACAGGGAATGGATTATGACTCACAATAGCGGTAGTGATGATGATGATGATGATGATGATGACTAGTCAGACCCGAAATGTTAAAATTCATGTGTTCTTTGTCATTTTATTTGGAATTTTCATTAACATGCCTAATATGATGGCTACTGTAAAACTCATTTACCTGTTTTTAGGGAGATAAAATAGTTTTTATTTTAAAATGTTTTACTTCAAAAAGTAAGACAATTGCATTACTTAAGCACAAAAAATTGTATATGCAAGTAGTTTTACTGTACATTAATAACATTTGTTTATATATTTTATAGCATTGTAGTATACAGCTTGCCTTTAAGTTTTAAAGTTTGCTTTTCAAGTTTTCTTTCATGTTCACTAGTTTTAAATTTTCTGTTCACTTGTTAGAAAGAAAAATATCTTTTTTAGTGTTCTTTCTAAATTTTATAGGCTTCAATGTATGCCTTTGTGTAAAGAAAAAAATATTAATAGCCAGCCAGTAGTCTATATTTAGCATTTTAAAAGCATTTTTATAAATTTATTTTACTAGTAATAAACTTATGTAACTTGAGGAAATATGAATTTGTTATTCTGTTCCAAAATTATATAGGTTGAACTACTATTATAAGGGACATTCATGATTTGTCAAGAAAGGTTAAATAGTGAAATAATTTATAGTCTAAGAATGAAAAATAAGTTATTTTCCTTTGCTCACTTTTATATGTGTGTATACAGACACACATGTATGCTTGTGAAACAGTTCACAAAGTTGGTTTTTATAGTCATTATATTTCACTTCTGTATTCACATATGCTATATCCCTATAATAAAATGTTAATTCTAGGCTTTAGAAGAATTTTTATAGCAAGCATAATTATGTATTTTTTTCTGGACAATAATGGAAAAAATATCTAAGATCTATGAGCATATCATTTTATGTTTTGTGTACTTGAACTATTTTTTTTTTGAATTTCAACTTAGATGAAAGTATCTTGCCTGTTTCACATGTATATCAGATGTACTTAAAAAAAATCTTCAAAAAGTTAATGACTATTAGTAGTATGATGTCAAATCTTTTATGACTGCTGGGTTTGAACCAATAAAGAAACATTTACCTTGATATATGTTAAGCACTTTATTAATACTGATTCTATATTAGATTGTAGGAGATAATTGCCTTAATTTTTCACCTTTTGAATAAGTAAATAAAAATAATAACCATTCGTATGTTCTCTACTGGTATCAAAGACATTTTGTATGTGTTGTGCACCTACAGCTCTCTCACTCTTGGCCAAAATCAAACAAAGCCTCTGTTTGTAGAGATAATATAGCCTGTCACTACGACTTGCTTACTCCTGAGCAAGAAAGGGTCTGGAAATGTTTTACCTTCCAGCATTGCTAAGTACAGCCCTTTCTAAAAGTGATACTACTTGTTTCTAAGTTGCTTACTGAATTTCCTGAGATTTCTCTCTCAAATCATAATACAAGTTTCTTAAAAAATGATCCCTAAGCATTTATCTGGAAAAAACTTTAAGAAATTCTGGAAGTGTCTTGCTGTTTTAATGAAAAGAAAATTAAAGGTAGATTACATTTATTTAAAATTTCTTGGACAGAGATTTAAACCAATATCATAGTGACTAGTAAACTGTTCGTATGATCTTAAGGATTCAACATTCTTAAGCTTTTAGAAGTTAGAAGTGAAATATGTTCAGCTGCCTAAATTGCCCTTACTTGTTCTTCATTTCTTGTTACTATGAAATAGCTTCTTGAAGATATTTTTTCCAGCCTAAAAAAATTGTGTTGCTTTTATTAGAGAAAAAATTTTAGACTGAGGATTGCTCTCTTGTATTACACCTGTGTTTTATATGAAAATTGGCAGGGAGAAAAAATTGAAAAAACCCTGAAATTGTGGTTTTCCACCACTATGCATAAATAATCTTAAGTTTATAAGAATCTGTAAATGAAATTAGTTGGTATTCACATTGATTATAGATATAACAAATGTAGATCTATTATTGCAAACTGTCAGTATTTCTTGGAGAAAAGGAAGTCCTTTTGTTTCTGTAATCCAGGATTTTTTAAATTTAAGCTTTTAAAATAAACACTGCTACGTGTTTTCACAGCATCAATGTTAAGTATTTTAGCTTTTAAAATAGTGCAAAATACATAGCATTGATGCTGTCAAAACACATAGCAGTGTTTATTTTAAATTAACATTATTACAATTTATAGCTACCTCTATTGTACATCAGTGATCAGGATATCAGTGTTTAACCATGAAAAATGCCAAGGTAACTTGTCTGATTTAAACCCTGTGTTAAAATTTTGCACTAAACTTTGCTGGAGTAGTCAGAGGAGGCCTAGCAAGAATTATCCACACTGATAAAATTAAGTACTTTTCTACCACACCTTTAAATACTTTTTTTTTTTTTTGGTTTTCTAGATTTTGTTCTAAATGTTTAATTTATAAATTATTACAATAGTCCCAATATATTAAAGGTCCAGTG